CATTTAACTTATCTGAACCTCATTTTGTATTGTCTGGTCTCTAAGACTGTTCCGAGCTTTGTACATCTATGGAGTTAAGGGGTCCGACAACTTTAATCCAAGGTAGAAAAAGAGAGAAAAGATCTAGAGGTCTTAGAGACAGAAAGGGATAGTGGAAAAGACTCAAGTCCTAGCTCTACCACTTACTAGTTATATGATCATAGGCAAGTGATTTCCTCTTATGTAACATATAAATGATTCTTGCCACTATTAACCTCACATGATTGTTGTGCTTTGCAATCTATAAAGCATTATATGGATGTGAACCACTATTATTATTATTGACTTTAATCCCAGGATGCTAAAATGAACCCTGGCCTCAGAGCCCAGACCCCATTGCCAAGAAACATCTGTACCTTATCCTAACATGCGTATCAACCAGGATCAGAGAAAAGCTTCAAAGGTTTCATCACTGATGAATAGGAAGATGAGGTCTCTAAAACAACCCAGGAATCATAGGAATGACCTGCCTCAACAGGCTTTGTTGTATGTGGGTATTCCACCCCTGCCAATACCACCACCTTGTGAGTCGGTAGGCTTGAGGATGAAAAGAGTAGAGTTGGGCTTTCTTAACTTCCAGTCTAGGAGATCAGGAACTCAAAGGGCCATGAGAATCACTAGGTCATAAGCCAAACTAGACTCCATTCCTTGGAAACTTTTTCTACTTTTACTCAGTAGTGAAATTGGATGGGAGTGGAGGGAGAGAACAATAGGATCTCTTTACCAGTCAAGGTGTATCAAAGAGTTCAGGCAATACCTGGCCAAAGACTTGGAGTCACCATTGCCAAGGAGCACATTTCTCCTAACATCCAGGTTTTCTGGGGCCTCTGGGAGATGTAAGGCAAAGGGAAGAGTATAGGTAGGATAAAGCCTCAGGACTGATTCAGGTCTCTGGGTTGCTGGTAGGGGTTATCTCAATAAGAAAAACTGACATTCTTCTCCCTCCCCCTTTGTCTTCCCTAGCTCATGAGGCAGGGTTGGTATCTCTTCAGGTGGCAGGAGAAGGGGGCCCACTCTCTGCCTCTGTGCTCTTTGAGTATCGTGCCCGCCGTTTTTTAGCTCTTCCCAGCACCCAACTCGACTGGCTGTCCTTAGATGGTGAGTACCTAATCCACTCTGGACATAGACATCCAGTCCTGTAACCCCTGTACTTCACTTCTATCTCCTTACCTTTGGTTCCCATTTCTTTCAGGGATTTGGTTGGGTATCTAGTGTGCCAGTCAATAAGCACTTGCTATATGCCACCCACTATGCTAAGCACTGGGATTACAAAGAAAAGCAAAAGATAGCCCCTGCCCTCAAGCTCACGATCTAACGGGGGAGACAACATGCAAACAATTATATACAAACAATCTGTATACAGGATAAATAGGAAATAATGAACAGAAGGAAAACCCTAGATTTAAGAGGGTTTGGGAAAGGCTCCTTGTAGAAGGTGAGATTTTATTTGGAATTTGAAGTTAGTCAGGAGGAGGAAATGAAGAGGGAGAATACTCCAGGCACGGGAGACAGTCAGTGAAAATGTCCAGAGTTGAGAGATGGAGTGTCTTGTTCCAGGAACAGGAAAGAGGCCCATATCACTGGATTGAACAGTATGTAGGAGGGAAGTAATGTGTAAGAAGACTGGAAAGGTGGGACAGGTGGCTTGGTTATGAAGGGCTTTGAACACCAAGCAGAAGATTTTATATTTGATCCAGAAGGTGATAAGGAACCACTGGAGTTTATTGAGTTTTAGGGGGTGGGGAGGAATGTCAGACTTAAGAAAATCACTTTGACAGAGTTTTTTAGCTTCCAGCTTTCCAGTCATGTCCAGGGCCTAGTTCTATTTTTTTTCTTGATCTATAACTGGCTTCTTCTCCACCTCTTCTTTCCTAGATTTCTTAGACTCCATCTCTAAGTCCTGGGACTTTTTCTGTTTCCCTCTCTGAGTTTTGGCTATTCCTGTCTGCAGAACTTTCTTCCTTGGGGTCTAATGCTTGGGCTATCTGTCTTGCCTCATAGTTTTTCAGAGTTCCTTTGTCTTGGTGTTTTTTCCCCATCTCTTTTTCCCTCTTCAGCCCTTCTTATAGAAAAAGGAGGGTATAATGTAGTGTAATGAACAGCAGTAGGCCTGAAGTTTGTCGATGTGGCTTCAAGTCCCAGATCACCCATTTAACTGTGTGACCTTGGGCCTCTTTCCTTCTTTGTAAAAATGGAGTTTTGTACTTTAGGTACATTATGTACCTAATAGCACTGTTGTGAGGAAAATCTTTTATGAACTATTAACGTGCTTTGAACAACCCATCATTGTTTGTGCCCCTTTCTGACAGCTTTTTTTTTTCTGGTGAAATTCTCAATGTTGTAAGTCTTGGGAATTTCTATATCCAAAGCATTGGCTTTGGAGTCAAGGCTCACGTTCTGCCTGTCTGACACCTGTGTTTCCTCATCTGTAAAATGAAGTTGGCCGAGACGGCCTCTGAGGTCCCTTTTAGGTCTCGAGCATGTGAACGTGAGATCCTGTCTTAACTCCTTGTGAACTCCTTCCTTTCTTCACGTTTGTGTTTTCCCTCTCGATTTTCTTCTCACCGTTTTTCCCCTCTGTCATTATATCTACATATCTTACTGGATCTTTGTCTCCTGCCCTTTCTCTATACTACTTAAGTCTCTGTCCAAACTATCTCTTATCAGCGTCAGTGCTTCCATCCTCTTCTGCCTGTCCCTTCCCTGCCATGGCAGGCACAGCGATACTCAGCCTTCCCCTTCTATGCCCCCCACAAGGGAAGGGTGGTTTTAAATGACTCTCCCTGGTCTCTTGTGGGAAGCAGTAACTGAAGAGGAGAGACCCTGGAGTTACCGGGCCTCATTGTGGGGGCAGAGGTAGTGTTGGGGGCAAGGAGAAGAGATAAATAGCCCTGGGAGATGAGGCATAGAGGGGGAACTGTTTTGAACAAAGTAGGAAAGCTTTCCAAAACCCATTATCCAACCCTTTGCCATTCTCTCTGCATTATCATGTAAATTGATTTGAGATCTAGATGTTTAAGTTGCATTCTTCATCCTGGCATACATTCAGGGTCCCTGGTTCAGGTTTGAGGGATGTGTCTTTCCTTCTTGGGTATCCTTTTCCTCCCACATCTTGGGATGCTTTTTGTTTCTAGTATTTGGAAGGTTGTTCACATCCTTTCCCAACTCAATCTCCTATCCTTTTCCCCTACAAGACAACCAGTTCCGGATGTCCATATTGGAGCGACTAGAGCAGATGGAAAAGCGGATGGCAGAAATGGCAGCAGCTGGACAGGCTCCTCCCCCAGGTCCTGACCCTCACCCAGTACAGGTATTTGGAGAGAGGGAAGGTGGAATATTTGTTGCACCTTCCCTAAGCAAACAGTTGTGGTGTTTGACCCACCTTACTTTCCTTCCGTCCTCTGTATCTTCTGACCTCTTTAGCTTGGTGCCCCTCTCCTCTTCCTGGTACACTATGTCTCCCAATACTACCTTCTCTTCTAAGGGTAGCTATTCTGGGTGCCATCTTGGCATGCCAACTCCTCAAACTATTTCTGGTCTAGAAAGGGGGCATAACTGGGGAAGGCAATGGGGGGATCTTCAAAGATCTGGGGGTCCTGATTTATACCAGTGAACTGGCAGTTGTGTGGCACTGTTTCAGGGACAAGGACACTTAGATGTCTGACCAGAATGGTCTCAAGAGAACTAAGAGACAGAAGGCCTGGTTTCCAGAAGGAAGTGGAAACTAAGGATAGAATTAGAAAATGGAAGTAGGAGAAGAATATCTGGGTGTCAATAGGTGAATGAGACTAGACAGTTGGATTAGGACTGTTTGAGAATTATGGGAGAGGATGTTTGGGTGCCTGAGTCAAGAGGCAGGGTTAGTGAGCACTAAGATAGATAGCTGGCAGCTGAAAGACCAGACACCTGGGCCCCTAAGATCAGCAGAAACCACGACACCAAAATCTAGGCCCTTGGATGAGGGTATGTGTATTACAGGGAGGTGTCCCGGGGCCTGGGTTTGAGGCCCGTGTGGTGGTCCTAGTAGAACGTATGATCCCTCGTTATGGCTGGCGGGGCCCTGATCACCTGGTTCACGGGGGACCCTTCCGGGGTATGAGTCTCCTTCACCTGGCAGCAGCCCAGGGCTATGCCCGTCTCATTGAGACCCTGAGCCAGTGGAGGTGAGTACAGGTTGGGAAGGGAAAGGGTTGGGAGTGGGTTGGAAGGTGGAGAGCCAGAGTAGTAAATCCAGGGTCAGGAAGAGTCAATAAAGTGGGGGGCAGGGTTATTGTAGGTGAGCAAGATGGGATTGAGGAGAGGTTAGAAATTGGGAACCAAGAGAATGTAGATGCCCTTAGTCCTTGTCTCCTAGGCTTAAGTACTCCCTAACCTGTTAATCTCTTAAGGTTTCTTGACCCCACCCATACCCTCACCCCTTTGCCCACTGACTTGCCCTTCTAGATGTCTTGACCTCTGGTCCCTCGTCTCCTTGATGTCTGCCCCTCTTAGTCTAACCTTAACCTGCACCTACCCTCTTGTGCTCTGATTAGCTTCCCTCATCTCTGTCCTTCTCTTGCCACCCCTCCAGGACTATGGAGGCAGAAAGCTTGGACCTGGAGCAAGAGGTGGATCCACTTAATGTGGATCATTTCTCCTGTACTCCTCTGGTAAGGAGACCAGATTCCTGGTCCCTCAGTGGCTACTGAAACTGGGGTAGGTGGGTGGGAAGAGGGGAAATAGTGAGACTGGGGGGTTCATAAGGCTTCCCCCTTTGAGGGGAACAGGGGCAGAGGGATATGGAAATAAAGTCATGGCCTGGTGGTTGAGTTCCTAGGAGGAAGACAAAGGTCTAGCCCTTACAGTCTATTCTTCCATCCCAAACCCTCCCTTCCCTAGATGTGGGCTTGTGCCCTAGGGCACCTGGAAGCTGCTGTGCTCCTTTTCCGATGGAACCAACAGGCACTAAACATCCCTGATTCTCTCGGCCGACTACCCCTGGCTGTGGCACATTCCCGGGGGCATGTACAACTTGCCCGATGTCTAGAAGAGCTACAAAGACAGGAGGCTTCAGTTGAGCCCCTGCCTGCCCCTTCACCACCCTCTGCCAGCCCTGACACTGGTGAGGATGTTGCCAGGGAACAGGAGAGAAGAAAGGAATGGAATTTGAGATGTGAGAGGGGAGGGAAGCCTTGGGGCAGGGAGCAGCTTAGAGGAAGAAAGCTAGGATGGATGGGGGAAATAATGTAGCCAGAAGACTAGAATGTGAAAGAAAGAAGGTAGGAGACAAGTGGTAGTATAGAAATAAGGAGTAGTAGTAGGGTGTGGGCATAAGGAGAAGGAAGGGGTAAAAGATGTAGGAGGGAACTAGCAAGACCACCTTGGACAGCACCTGCTTTGATCATAAATATTTTTTTGATTTGCTGACTCTTTCCCTTCTCTCCCACCCTTCTAGGTCTGAGCAGTGTCTCCTCACCTTCAGAGCTGTCAGATGGCACGTTCTCTGTCACTTCAGCCTACTCTAGTGCCCCAGACAGCAGTCCCCCACCTGCTTCTCTGCCTACTTCTGAGGGAACCACTGAGGTGACACAGCCAGGCCAGTCTCCTCATGGTCTCTCTGAGGCTTCCAACCTACTCATGGACTACAAGGCCAGTAACCCCAAGGGGCTTCCCTCACCCCACTCTGTGAGTGAGGACTCCACGGTAGATGCTCCAATCCAGGGTTATGGGGCCAGTTCGAAGGGAGCTGATTGCCATCAGGCTGTGGACACAATACAGGTATTTATCAAACTGGGTCTGGGGAGAGAGGATTTAGGGGTATGTGTGAGTGAGGGTAAAGGAGAGGGGGTTAGACAAAGCAGAGTGATCCGGAAGGATCTATGAAGGGAACAAGAGCTCCCTTTCTGAAGTGGTTTGGACTGGAAGGCACTGAGGTGGACAGAGTTGACCAATGTTTTTTCAGTCCCTATGAGCCTTGCCCAGCCATAAGGAATAGTGGTAGGCTTACAATAAAAGCTTATGAACTCTTGAGAATGAAAGAATGGATTTTTCATTTGTTTCATCATTGTTGACAAACATTTATTTAGTATTATATGTATTGTGTTATGTTCTGTTATAAGACACAGCCTTACCCATGAGGTGCTTACAGAAAATAAATACGGGAAGTTAAATAAAAGAAGGGTAGTATATGCTTAGTCAAATGTGGTATATTGATAGTGAATTCACAGGAGAGAGCTGTCATCAAGGGAAGACTAAGAAAGGCTTTCTGGAGGACATGATAGAACCTGAACTGGACCTTTAAAGAAGAATTAGACTTAAGGGAAGAGGAGGAGAAAAAAGATTTAAGACAGGAACAATAGTATGAGCAAAGGCAGCAATAAACATGGAGTAATGAAGAGATTAATTTGGCTGGAGTGGAAGGTCTTTGTAGGGGAGGAGTAGGAAGGGAATGGGGAGGCAGTTTAGAGTCATTAATACTACGCTAAGGAGTTTGGACTTCATTCCTAGAATGTGTTGTCTTTCCAAGAAGATTATAAATCCCTCAGGGACAGAGAAATTTCTCTCACTTTTTGTCTTCCACTTAGTGCCTGCTGTTGTTCAGTCTTGTTCGACTTTTTGAGACCTGTGGACCATAGCACACTAATGCTGTCCATGGGGTTTTACTGGCAAAGATACTGGAGTGGTTTACTTCTCCAGTGGATTAAGACAAACAAAGGTTAAGTGAGTTGCCCAGAGTCACACAGCTACTAAGTGTCTGATGCTGGATTTGAACTCAGGTCTTCCTGACTCCAGGTCCAACATTCTATCCATCGAACCACCTAGCACTGTGCTATAATAGTAACTCAGTAAGTATTCTAGCATAATCAAAGAAATAAAAAAATTAGAAGGAAAGGCCTAGTGGGGCCTCAGCCAATGGCAGTGAAGAAGGGAAGGCCTGGAGATAGGATCAGGGCTCAGTCATTTTTAAGGCAGGATGAGGAGCTGATGGGTAGGATTTTTCATGTTTTCCACTAGGTGGACATGATCTCCCTGGCCAAACAGATTGTTGAGGCAACACCAGAACGGATTAAACAGGAAGACTTTGGAAGTGTCCCTGAGGCTGGAGGCCCTCTTCAAGAACAGACTGGAGCCATGGGGCTCAGTGAGACTATGTCCTGGCTGGCTAGTTACCTGGAGAATGTGGACCACCTCCCTAACCTCACCCAGCACAGGTGACCACACTCAGGGTGGGTCCTCTGGCCATTTCCCCTAAAATTGGACAAGGAGGAAGCAAGAGCCCACCAGGCTGTGACCTAGGGACTTTGGGTAGAGCAGACATAATCTCTGGTGCCCACTCTTAGAAAAGGACCCAATTAAGACCTTGCCTACAGTTCTAGACTCCTGAAAAGGAATAACAGCTCTTTAAACTCAGTGATCAGGCAGCATCCATCCAAGGTGGGAAGGAAGAAGAGGTACCGAAATCTGATACCCTTCCTCCTCTTCTTCAATAGTGAGCTGCCCTTTGAGCGGGGTCGCCTGGCTGCTCCCCCTGCCCCATCTTGGGCAGAGTTCCTTGGGGCCTCAGCCAATGGGAAGATGGAAAGTGATTTTGCATTGCTGACACTGTCTGATCATGAGCAACGGGAACTGTATGAAGCTGGCCGTGTCATCCAGACTCCCTTCCGCAAGTACAAGGTTGGGGGGAAATGGGGGCAGTGGAACCAGAAGGGGTGCAAAGGTCATAGTGTCAGGGTTGAAGACACAGGGGAGAGGCAGATGGGAGCACTTCCATCGTTAATTTTCGGGGGGGCTATAAGGGGTGGTGTTGGAGGGGGGGGGGGGGGGGGGGGGGGGGTGAGGTGAGATATGGCTACTGGGAGTGTATGACTAAGGTAACTGAATGAGTAAAAGGAAGAAATGGGTGCCAGAGAGAAAAAACAGAGTATGGATCAGTTACTGAGTATATAGAGCAGCAGTAAATAGAAGGAAAGACAGGCATTTCAAGTGTGGGCCCTGAGAGCCAATTCTGTATTCAACACCAGCCCTAGTACTGATCCCCGTAGGGAGATTCCATTATTCTGGAAGCTGGGATGACAAAGTCCCAGAAGATGTAGATTTCTGAATGGCATAGTTTCTACATAGGAAAAGGTAGTACTCAAGGAAAAGCCAGTGGACAAGAACTCATTGTGGTCATAATTATTAGCAAGTGGTAAAGTGCATATTTGGGAGCATATGTTAAGTCTGTTAGGCCCATGCAACTCAGAGGGACTGGTCTTAGATGGGGTCTGGAGTCAGAAGTTGAGAAGGTCATATTGGAGCCCAGGGTTGTTAGTTATGGTAGAATAATTAGGTTCCAGACACAGGTTATGCCAAGGAGTCAAGGATCATTTAAGAGGACCACAGGACAGGTCTGTGAAGCTTAAATGTTGTGGGGAACATCTAAGGGATAAGATGACCCTGTCCCAGTGGGGAAATGTTAGGGACAGAAGATCTTCAAGTTTCCCTTGCTCCACCCACCCCCAAGGGCCGCCGACTAAAGGAGCAGCAGGAGATGGCAGCAGCTGTGATCCAGCGCTGTTACCGAAAGTACAAGCAGGTAAGATATACTGCCCCACCTCCAAATACACACTGCTTCCTGAGCCCCTCTTTAGCTTAGTTTGGCTCTAACTCCACTTCTCTTCCCACAAGCTAACGTGGATTGCACTTAAGGTAACTAAGGGACTATTTGGGATAAAGGGCATATATGTCAGAAGAAGAATAAGTCAGTCTCTTTTCATGGAGAGTCCTGCATCCTTGGCTTGAGAATAGGACTCTAGGTTCTCTGCCTTTTTGGAGACTCACCTAGAATAAATAAAATATCTATGGACTACAATGGATTCATATGCTGCCTCAAATATTTAGTAGCTTCAGAAACTCAGTTTTTTCATGTTGTAAAATGATAATATCTACACTAAATACTTCAGGGTGGTTTTGAGGAAAAGTGCTTTTCAAACCTTAAAACATCATAAAAATGTGAGTTATCTGTCTCTCTCTCCCCCCATGTTGTTGTCTCTCTTTTGGTCATGTTTGGTCTCCACCTCCTGAATTATGTCCTCCAGTTTGCACTCTATAAGAAGATGACCCAAGCAGCCATCCTGATCCAGAGCAAATTCCGAAGTTACTATGAACAGAAGCGATTTCAGCAGAGTCGACGGGCAGCTGTACTAATTCAACAACACTACCGTTCTTACCGATGCCGACCTGGGCCCTGCCACCGGCCTCCTGGGCCCTCAGGACCTCTGCCTCCCCGTAGCAAGTATGTTCCTGAGCCCCTCAGTTATGATGGGCCCCAGACTTCACAGAAAACTGCTGCCTTATAGTGTACACCCAACTTTCCTCTTCCCCCCACTGTAGTTGTCAGAAACCTTGTCTTCCTTATACCTAAAATTTCCCTATGTTGGGCTGTCTTTACTCTCACTGACTTGCCCTCCCCTTTCCTATCCAGTTTTCTCAGGATGGTGGTATTGAAGAGGAACATATGCATTCTCTTTTATCTTGTTAGCTTCCCTTTCTCTGTCTTTCCAGAGGCTCCTTCCTCACCAAGAAACAGGACCAGGCAGCTCGGAAAATCATGCGTTTCCTGAGGCGCTGTCAACACAGGTACCATGCACTCTTCAACTACCTTATTTTCCCCATTAATGTCCAATTTCCTTTCCCTTCCCATTGATTCCCCCAATCATTTCCTTCTTTTTAAAAAAAAATTTTAATATTTTATTTTTCCCATTACATGTAAAAACAATTTTAAACATTTTTTAAAACTTTGAGTTCCACATTCTTTCCCTTCCTCCCTCCCCCCCCCCCCCTTGAGAAGGCAAGCCATTCAATATAGGTTATACATGCGTAGTCATGCAAAACATTTCCATATTAATCACCAATCATTTCCTTCTAAGACCCTATTTTACTACTTGGCCCCTTTTTCTCTCTCCCCCATAGGATGAAAGAACTGAAGCAGAGCCAGGAACTAGAGGGTCTCTCCCAACCTGAACTGGCCACCTGACACCCTCACCACAATTACCACCTTGAGGAGGGGTGGTCTCTACAGGGATAAAATCCCTTGTTGGAATAGGAGACAGCTTCCCTCCAAGACTCCATGGAGCCTCTTCCCTCTGTAGGGCTTTCCTCTTACCCTCTCTTAAGTGTTTGTTTCCCCACCTCCTTCCAGGATTCCTGTCTCTCTTGCCTTCTCCTTTCCCTATTTTTACTGGCCTTGGCCTCTAGTCTGACCTACACCTTAATCTTTAGCTGTGTCAAGCCCCTGTTTCTGCTCCCCCTGCACCTGTGAAGGGGCTCCCTCTTTTGCCTGCCTGCCTTACGTGTTTCTTTCAACAGTCAGCCTCTGAAAGTCTCTCCCAGTTTCCCATTTCCATATCCGCTTCTTCCCCTTTCTGTCTGTCTCCCGTGTCTCAGCCCCGCCACTCACATCTCTGATGCCTGGAGAAGTCTTGGCATGATTCTTTGTCTCGGCGCCTGCACTGTCACTTCTGTATCCTGACTCTTGTTCTCTTTCTGCCCCTCCCCCTCATCTCCCTCCCCTTATTGATGGGGTCGAAAGGGAGAATGGGGGAATGGGGGAGGTGTAAATAACAAGTGTGTGTGTGGGAGTATTGTACGGAACTGTGAGGGATGGGGCTGGTGGTGCATGGGCCAATTGCTCCCCCACCCCGGGTTCAAAATGGGTGAGGGGGGCGTCTCCTCATCTCCACCCCACTGCCCAGATGGTCACTGTTTCTAAGTGTGCATGGGCTTGGTTTGTACAACTTGCCATTAAAACATCGTTGCAACCGTCCGACTTCTGCTTTTGTTGGGGGCGGGGGGAGTCAGGACCGGGCTTCGACCAACCAGTGCAAGTCAATGTAATTTACGAACTGGGGGGTGGAGGGGTCGAGGGCGCGGCTGCCAGGGTGCCCCCCAGGAGGAAGGGACGGGAGCTGGATTCAGAAACCAGGAGAAGGGGAAGGAGTGTCGACCAGCGGGCAGGAGGGTGGATGCAGCCGCTGCCCAAGGTCTTCCGAGGAATCGAGGAGCCCCGGCAACCTTTGCTCCGACCCCTCCTTCCCCTTTAATAGGTAGAGCTATTCAACTGGGAGAAGAACCCGGAGCGGGGGACGGGGAAGGGGGGGAGGGATGATTTTCCGCCTCCGGCAGTCTACTGTCTTAAAGGCGTTTCGTACTTCCCTTTAAGGCGGCAGTGCCGCCCCCACTTAGTCTCTTCCAAGATGGCGGACCTACTGGGCTCTATCCTGAGCTCGATGGAGAGGCCGCCCAGCGTCGGTGACCAGGAGACCCGCCGCAAGGCCCGAGGTAAGGAGCCCCACAATACGCACCCTGCTCCTGGCTTACAAGAATCCACTCCCTGCTCCCTGCCTGGCGCTCCCTTAACTCTGAAGACCCCCCTGTTGGGCCCACCTGCGCCCCCTTGAATCCTCCATTGGGCGCCGGCTCTGCCAGTCAGCGGAAGGAGAACGGCCATTGGTCCCGTGCTAGTTTCTAGGCCCAGCTCCTTTTTCTTATCCTTCCCCTCCGCCGTCCTTGATCCCTATTAGTAGAAACACCCGCTTGTCTGTCTGCCCCTTCCCAAGCGGCGAACTTCGATTGGTTAGCCCTGAGCTAGGTCACACCCATCCATTTTGTCCCTGCCCCGAGCTCCAATTGGTGGATGGACCCATTCTTCCGCTCTTTGCCTCACTCACTCAATCACTCACTCTCACTCACTCCATCCAGCTTTAATTGAGCGCTTCCGGTGTTGTCATTACTGTGCTAGGCTCTGGGAGTACAAAGACCTGGAAAGAAACAAACGCTGCCTTTTCGTAGCTTCGGTTCTTTAAGAGCATATGAATACATAGCGAATATAGGGAGTAAGGAGCCCACTTGAGGGGAAGCATGCATCTGTGTGGAAGTCCCTTCTCAGACTTAGGCTGGAAGTGTGCCCCTGCGCAAGGGACTTAACTAAGTCCCTAGGCGACCAAGGGTATGTTAGTACCATATACCTCACTGGCTTTTCTTGAGGATCAAATGAGGCAACACAAGTAAAGTGCACCTGCAAACCTCAAAACACCCTAAATGCTAGCTGTTCATTGCTGAGAAGGTGCCGACATATGTAGGTAAAGGGAGTATCCTCACCTGGGAGTTCTCTGCCATAGCAATCATAGATTTGTCCCTATTCTCAAATACAAAGTGGTTAGAGAGGGAATGATGTTACCCGATGAGAGGATCGGGAACAGTCATGTAGAAAACGGTAGGTGATTTCCTGAAAGAAGAAAGGGATTCTTTGAGGCTGAGGTGAGGAGGGAGTGCAGGCATGGGTGTGTGCTAGTGCAAATGCAGAGATTGTAGAGGTTACACTATTCTTGAGGAGTAGAGAAAAGGCCAGTCTGGTTGGATTAGAGAGTACGTTATCTTTCTCCCCAAACTCTCCCCTCTTCCAAACTGTGCAGGGCAGGGGCAGGTAGGTAGCACAGTGGATAGAGCACCGCCCTGGATTCAGGAGGACTTGAGTTCAAATTTGGCCTCAGACACATAACATTTACTAGCTGTGTGACCCCGGGCAAGTCACTTAACCCCATTGTCTAGCCAAAACAACAATAATAATAATAATAATAATGATACTGTGCAGGGCATCACCATCCTCCCAATCTCTCAGGCTCACGACCTCATCCTGTCATCAATTCTTCACTATCTCTGTTCTCCCTTCTCCCTATCCAGTCTATTGCCCAACAACTATTTTACCTTTGCACGATCTTTCAGATATGCCCCCTTCTCTCCTGCCACCACTCTAGCGCAGAGCCTCATCACCTCACCCTTGTAACTATTGCAATATAACCTGCTGGTAGGTCTGCTTCCTACAAGTCTCTCCTAATGCCAGTCTATCCATTCAGCCTCCACAGTGATTTTCCTAGTCCAGCCATGTCATCTTCCTACTCAATAAACTCTAGTGGTTCCCTGTCACCTCCTAGATCAAACACAAAATTTTCTGTCTAATGATCAAAGCCCTTTATAACCAACCTTGCCCTTTCCAGTCTTCTTATACCTTACACCCCACCATGCACTTTTCAGTACACTCCACTTCTCAGCTCTGAGCATTTTCTCTGGCTGTCCCACATCCCTGGAATGCTTTTCTTCCTCATCTCTGCCTGGAAGCTTCCCAGACTTTCTTTAATTCCCAACTAAAATCCCATCTTCTACAGGAAACCTTTCCCAACCCCTATTAATTCTAGTGCCTTCTCTTTCTTATTTCTTATTTATCCTATATGTAGCTTATTTGTACATGTTTTTTTGCTTGTCTCCTTCCTTAGAGTGTGAGTTCCTTGAGGGAAGGGACTGTCTCCCTCTTTTTTGTATCCCCAGCACTTAGAACAGAACACAATAAGACCCTAATAAATTCTTATTGATTGTCTAGAAGAATAGGAATAATATACAGTGAAGCTGGAAAGAAAGGTTGGGGCCAGGGCTTTAAAAGCTAAACAGAAAATATTTTATCCTAAGGAGCCACTGATGTTTGAGTAGGAGAGTGAGATGATCAAATATGGGCTTAAGGAAAATCACTGTGACAGCTGTGTGGAGTAGGGAAAGACTTGAAGCAAGGAATCTTAGAGGCTGTTGAAGCAGTAGCTATGTGAATAGAAAAGTTTTGGATTCAAAAGAAGTTGTGGAGATAGAAATGGCAAGATTTGGAAACGGATTGGATATGTTGTGTTAACTAAGAGAAATACTAGAAAATTGGTTCCTCTTCAGAAATAGAGAAGTTTGGAAGAAGGATGGGTTTGGAGGTGGGGGTAGAGAAAGATGATGAATTGTGTTTTGAACATGTTAAGTTTGAAATTTCTCCAGGACATCCAGTATGCCATGTCCAGTAGGTAAAATTGGTCATGTGGGACAGAAGCTCAGGGTACACAGGGGCTGGATATATAGATCTATGAAACATCTGCAGAGAGACGATAATTAAACCCATGGGAGTTGGAAGTCACTAAGAGAGAGCACTCACAGTTGGAAGTGATCATAGGGATATAGATTTTAGAAATGGAAGGGGCTTAAGAGGACCCAGAGTCCATCCCCTTCATTTTACAGCTAAGGAACGGTTGAATGACTTGTAGTAAGTAGTCTGAGGAGAAATTTGAACCCAAGTTCCCCGACCACAAGTCAGGTGCCCTATAACCTGATGCTAGAAGTGTGCCCCTGGGCACACATCCTTGACACCAATGCAGCAAAGTGATCAAGAAGGATCAAGAATGAGAAAGCGTCACTAAATTTATCAATTGAGAGCAATTTTAAGTTAAGCGAAGAGGTCAAATGCCAGACTGAAAAAGGTTGAGTGAGGGCAGAGAAAGCAGAGGCAATGAACGGATGGAGCTTTTTCTGAGTTTGGTTGAGAGAGGAAAGAGAGATGAAGGCTGGGGGAGGGGATCTGCAGCCCGGAAGAGGGCCTGGAGGATCGACCGATGGAGGGGGATCTGAGATCGGGATCGGCCAGGAGATGGGCCGCCGCTTTCGAGCCTGGGGGAAAGGACGAGAGTGGGAGATCTCCAGGGGTTTGGAGTGAAGACTGGGAGAGAAGAGGTGGCTCGTGGGCCTTGGGAAGTCTTCCGACTTCCGGGCAAAGTAAGAAGCCTGGTTCTCCGCTGGGGAGGGTGAGGAAATGGGGAGGGGCGTGTGGGCCTCCTGAAGACGAGGGAAGGTTCGGGCTCGGGACCCACTCTTCTTCTTTTCCTTTTTAGGACCTGCCTGTCCAGGAACGGAGCAATCCTATTGGCTCTCTCCTGCGGTCCTTTTGAATTGAGCTCTGCTTTCCCCGCCCTTTGCCCCCGTGGCTCCTATTGGCCAAAGTCCCCACTCGGCCGCCTATCGGTGACTATCTTGCCTCTTTTTTTTTTTTAAACGCGTTTTCTTACTTTCCAACTTCTGCTCCGTCTGCTTTGTCCTCCGCCCGTGTCCTCTTCCGAGCTTTTCGGCAGGAAGTGGTAGACGAGTGTTTTTTATTTACTGCATCTTGTGGGGAGCTTTTTTTTTCCCCTTGCAGCTTGCAGTCAAACAGCTAGTGCTTATTGAATATAATGTGGAGTGGAAGGAGCCCCAGTCCGACAGTGCTGCACGGGTCACTCTTTAACTACCCCTGGCTGCTTCGATGAGCTGAGCCGGGCTGGGCGTGGGCTGCACCACGGCAGTACCTTCTGGTACTCTCGCCATCCCAGGATACTCTTTTTACTCTTCAGTTTCTCTTACAAATCCTCTTTTTCTCCTCTACATCATCCCATAGCGGAGTAAATAGAAGCTATCCACCATGAACACTCTCAGACACCTACACTGTGCCCCTTTCTCCCTTTGTGGCTCCAGTCTTGGAAGAAAAGGTGACCCTTTGTCAAGGCCAACTCTAATATTTGTATGACCTTTACCCCATACCTCTAGTTTTCTGCAGGAGCTTGCCCCATCAATCATTCTTGATCTCTTCTTTTACTCACCTACTGGTTACTTTTCTGCTACGGACAATCAAATGTTCGAAGGCTTTCAAGTCTTCCTTGAAATCCTCCTGACCCTGCCTTCCATTCAAGCTGTTGTCTTTTCTGTCCCTTGCATTCTGTTTTTGGTTTTGTTTTTTTTTTGTTGTTGTTGTTGTTTTTGCTAGGCAATGGGGTTAAGGGACTTGCCCAGGGTCACACAGCTGCTCCTTGCATTCTGCCTTTAAGCTCCACCACTCAACTGAATCTTTTCTGAGGGTAACTACTGTATCTCTGTTCTTGACTTACCAACTTTTGACAGCTAATTACTCTTATACTCGTGATTATTTTGGCTTTT